TGAGAACATACTGAGAGGCAGTTGTAAGTCGGCATGGACAAATCTTGTAATTTTGCGGTATTTTAAGGTATCCTTGTCCTATGCGGAACTATATATGCAAATAATTATATTGCCATGATTGATAGCTTTATAGGTGGTTTTTTATTTTAAGTGTGTTACCTGGCCATAAAGAACAGATGCCTCGGCATCGGGTGACTCGAATTAACTTTACTCGACTAATTTGATTACTCTATAAATAGTCTTGAAAGTTTCAAATTACCGGTAGGTATAGAATAAAAGAATGAAACAGGAATACTGTCCTAATGCTTTTTTTTTTTTAATTTATTGCACGACTGTCTAACACGCAAAATTGAAACGCAAGTCGACTTTTCCTTAAAAATTTCCGCTTTCAGTGTTACGCGACATGTCATCTGTTTTCGGCCTCTTACAGTTTCATAATTCAGAGATACAACGTCGTTCAATTGATATGTCAAATTTCTTCGGAAAAACTACGCTTCGCAGACACAGCACCCCTTGCATTGCGCGCTTTGGCTGATTCTATAGTGTAACCATCAACTACATTTACATTTCAAGTTGATGCTTCATGGAAAATTCAAAACTTAGCGCATCAAAGAAGGTAATGGGGGCAGTAAATTTAGTAGATAGATGGAATAAGCTGCCTATGGACACTCGCTTTGAGACTAAAAAAAGAACATTGAGGTCGAAACCTTGAAATGTTATATTGTTATAATCTTATTAAAGTGTGGAAATGGGGCGTGTTTTATCGTTATAATCCTACTTAATTACCATTTCGGTGGTCTATTTCTATTTGGGGTAAAGGACTCCTTTACAGATCTTCCACGTGGCTCTTTTTATCTTATCATTTATCTTTATTTTTTGCTTTTGTTTAGAAGCTACTAACCATTAAATCGTAATGAATATCAGACTTGATCTATGAGCATCACGACCATATAACATGAACATAACTCATGAAGGCAAGGATTATCTTCAATTCCCTCTACATTTACCAGTTCTCGGCAATAACAAATCAGTTATAAGCACGATTAATGCATGTATCCTCGCTAAATTCATCGTCCGAAACCAATGCTTTCGATAAGAAAGTTTAAAATGTCACGAAAGTGAAAGTTACGCTTGGACGACCAATTAAGGTATGGACGCAATTCCGGTCACTCTCAAGGTGTGACTTGGAATGAGCGGAAGTTTTGAGAGGGATCACGCTTCAAGGAAACTGTAAAAACAGATTAATAACAAGTCGATTTCAACCAAGAACAAGCATATGAAATAGAGAAATTTAGAATAATAAAACAACACAAACTCTCACGGTCGCTTCCCTTTTAGCATAAAGTAAAAGATTAAAGAAGACACAAAGTGTTCTGATTTATTCAGTTAAAGCAGGGGAGTATTACGTTGGATATTTTTGGTGTTCTTAAGATGCCTTGCCGACGGGATTGAGATCGTCAGGGTCAGGCATTGTGAACGAAGCTTAAAGCCACGTTTAAAGAAAATATCCCAACTCAAAACTCTCTCGATGGACTGTAAACATGGGTAGGAAACTATCAAGGGGATATTCAGTATTTCGACTTCCCGTATTCTTGAGACCGAGTGCAATTGTATTTATTTTCATTTTTCAATGACTTTTAAGCCTGGTTATGTGATAAGTAATAAAACTCTATAAATGAACAGGTCCCATTCAGGTTATATCGTAAGGCGATAAACTAGTTAATGGATTTCAAAGAGCATATTTTGTTGGCATGTTTTGCTACCTACAAATGAAACCAGCTTTGTAGAATAAAATGACTTTCTCACAAAGTATTTAGAGCATGACTGATTTTTCAGTTGTGTTTTTTCAATCTCCTCGTTTCCTTTACCGACTAACTTTGATGAATTTTAACTTCCTGAGGAAACTTCGTTTTAGTTCTCTAGCTCTGATCACAGAACTAATGCACGGTATGTCTTGGGTATCTGCAGTGTTGTATGCTTAAGGAAGTATGAAATGAGGAAGTTGTGCAAATGTTCTCTGTGTAATTAGTTATATATAGCTAGACTATTATTTTTAATAGTACTACCATATGTGTACATAAACCCGAGACGGAAATGATAAAAAACATAACAAAACAAAACAAAAAATATTTGAGAGAAACCGCATTGAGTGGCCAATTTTTCAGACTCTTTCGATTCACCTTGAGATTTTCGTTGATCTTGTAGAGATACTGTACCATGTTTTTCAAATTTCGATGCCGAGGCAATTCTTTTGAGAGGGGGTCTTACTAAGGGAGGGAGAGGTTAAGGCAGAGTGCGTAGCCCCTCTTTCAACAAGAGGGTAATTTTTAGTCTGCAGACTAAGACTTCATCACCTTACTCCAGAACACTTATCTCTAGAACATTACCTAAATTGCAAGATAATTCCTGTTAGTCTGCCCACCACTTCAGACCCTGATTAAAATAAAGATGAGAAACAGAGAAAATAGGCCTAAAACGGCGCCAGAGTTTAAAGTTGCAAGTCTTAAGTCATTTTCCTTTGTTGGCACATATTTCAATCCAGCTTGTTCTAAATTCTTTGTTTGTATGTCTTTGTTAAGACGCACGCACACACGTACGTTCCCAATCTCCTCTCTAAGGTTAAACTGTCTCTTCCCCAGGAAAAGGTTCAAAAGTTAAAAACGTTTTAAAATTCTACCTTAAAAAAAATAATAACAGCAAAACAAAATATATGATTACAGGAATACCTCTACTTGGTTTTCTGTTTCGTGGCAAAACTAAAACCACGCCAATGATGATCAACGCGATGATGAACAGTGCGGCCAAAAGAGCGACTATCCTTTGTTTTTATGTCACTAGGATCTTCAACTGTCTTCTGAGTTGTTGTTGACAGTCTGGGATCTACAAAAAGAGCTAAAATAAGTAATATCCACGACTGTGAGTTAAAGGTAATGAGGGGATTAATCCACGGTTATGTTAAGGACGGGTGGGGAAGCTCAGAAATTCTTTTAAAGGGCTTTTTCAAGGAACGCTGAGTTTTATGACTGAGTTTTTTTTTTAAGTGCACTCATAATCAGTTATTGCTATTTTAAGGGATAGATCGTTTAATAAGTTCTTCCTCACTTCTTGTTCCTTTTATTTACAAACACCCTCCTTACAAACACCCACGTACTGATTTTCTTAGTTTCCTATAATCCTTACCGATTGCCGGCGATAACTTGTGCGAAATGCGGCCTTTTTGTTTTTTTTAAGACAACGATTAAATTAGCCATGAAATGGAAACAAGGAACTAGGTTACGAGGTCAAGAAACGGGGAAAAAGGGTGTGTATAAAGGCCGAAAACAATGAAGGGTGTTGTTTATTTGTCACAAAGAACGATTAAAGATCTGAGTCCGTCTTGGGAAATCGTCTAAGCTATAAAGAACTTGCTAAACGGGCTGGACCATAGTGAATTTACACGGCTCGTATTCACATTCACGTTTCTTTTTTTGTAACATGTTCGTTACAGATGAATAACACATTTTTTTATCATTCCACATTTGAGTGTGAAATTTCCCATGACCAAGAATCTTTGATAATTGGTTCAGGCATATCAATCGATAAATCATTGATAATCGAATTATATTGGCTACTTTACCATACATAGAAAGAGTTGGACCGATTCTTCTTAACACGAGAACTCGATACTCTTTCGCTACCGACTGCTACACATTAACGCACATCTATTTTTGGCCCAAAAATAGATGTCTTTAACTTCATCATACAGTGTTAGATGTAACAGAAAATTTGTAGTTGTGACTATCTAATTAACAAATGAACTCCACGTTATCATGCCTCTGTTTAGGAATAGATCACATGTAACGACAAAATTTGGTAGGAAACAATAAGGTGGCTTACGAGGCGCAACCGAGTGGACAGTCACACGTTTGTGCATGTTGTGAGTAAGTGGCCTGCTCTCAGGTTGTCAAATCAATGTAGCTTCACACGGGTTTCAAACAGCTACACATACCGGGAAGTCATGTTTTTTTTTTTTCAAATAAAACTGGTTATAATCAAAAAGTGGAGTTTTCCTTTCCCTACTTTTGTTCCCTTTTAAAGGGAGTATCAGTGAGATAATGACTTTTCGACTAACATTAAAAAGTTTGTCCATTTTACAGCTAATGGTTAACTTCCTTCCCCATATGATAAGATAAAAAAAATTTTTATGGTGCAGGTTCTTTATCGACCAACGTTTAAAATTTGCAAATTTCTGCACTTAACGACTATATTTTTAGGCGGTTAAAAGATTTCTATGAAAGTTTCAATATTCATTCGCCTATTTTGCGAGGCAGCAGTTGTCTTTTTTAAGTTTTCCCTCGAAATTTTGAGCGGGAAATTGGCGCACGGCCGGCGAAAATTTATCCCCTTACGCACGCCCGACGTTTGACTGCTGTGATAGTTAAGCCGTTGTTACTGATGTTCTTTTCGTGAATAGTCAGTTTGGAAGATAAGTGGTCGCTTGAATTTCAAAGCTTAGTGACTGAAACATAAAGTAATTCATACATTTAGAACAAAGTAAAACATTGTCGGAGTAACCTTTCGTCCAGAATTTACTGACCGATAGTTGTGTCATTTTCATTAATAGGACTAATCTATCGCAAACACTCTAATCACGTTATAAAATTTCCCATTGATTAAATCAAATTGTTCATTTTTTGATCGTGTTTTGTTTTACGATACTCCATACCGCGACATTTAAAAATACAACCGTTTAAACAAGTAATACGCTGACGCTGAAGTTTAATTAACGTCAACAGACCTTAGGAATATATATTTTAAATATAAAAAGAAAAAAAGAAGTTAAGGATATTTTCAAAGTTTTATACTTTACCAGATGATTATAATGTCTTAAATTCGTTTCATTTAAAGAATTTAAAGATTTTCCTTCAGTACACCCGAGCGCAGTACGCTGATTTCCAACTAATGCATAAAAAAAACCTATCTCTTGTAAGTAACACTGTGGTTTTTTTTCCGTTTCTTATGTGCCTTAAAGTAAATCATCCTAAGTATCTTGTTACAGAAGATTACATATAGTTACAATATTTTACCCTTGTAAAAATTGGTAGTTAAACTAATCCTAAAGGGTAACTTGTAATGGTGGTTGGGGAACATGCAAGACTCTTAAATGTATACATATATTTTCATAGTTCTCTAAAAGATAATAGAGGATGATGGACACCATCATTTTTACCAAAATAGTCAGTTATTTATAATGACAAGACAAATGATTAATGATTATTGTTTCCAAGACAATTTATCATTTTTCTTTAAGGTTTGAGTTGATTTTTATGTTCTTCATTAAATTATTTTTAGGATTGGAAATGAACAGAGTTCACTGATGTTCGCCTTTCTCTTTTTCCTCCAGATTCTGCTGAGATATCATCACGCATGCTGTCTTGGCCTGATTGATTTGGGCGTACACGGTTTGGGACTGTTCTTTGACGAGCTTTGCGCTACTTTCTCGGGAATGGACCATATCTGCGTACATTAGACCACGGTATGGAGAGGGCTTCTAGATCATAAAAGTGAATGATATCTTATAGGCAAGTCGTAAAACCAGTGACACCGAATAACATTAGCAACATAGTAGCTAATGAGGAAAAATGACACGAATATGATAAGCTGACAAGATTAGTGTTGTCTTTTTGCTTTGATTTGTTTTTAGTTTATTTTCGTTCGTTTGTCTGTTAGTTTTGATATACCTGTGCAGTTTTTAAAAGAACCTTTAGATACTTAAAATAAAGTCCATCTGCCTATTTCAGCTGCACGTTTCATTGTCATCGGTTTATATTTTGAATCGAAGGGATGAATGGGTCAATATTTTTTCCTTAGATTCAACAGCATTGAAGGCATAACAGGTCTTCATTAAAAAAAAAAAAAAAAAAAAAAAAAAAAAAATTGTTGTTCGGATTTGTGAAATGTATTACCTGTGGCGGTTTCTTCTTCCTTTTTGTCTTGTCAACAGCTGCGTACAAATATTCAATGTTCCCGCCAGCCTGTGGTGTTTTGCTCTCTGCAGCCTTTGCGTTGTTTCCGAGCCATGAATCAGTTGGATGCGACGAACGATCAACACAGTCGACGTAGGAGCCCCAGTTCACAGGTGACCCTCTTGTTCCTTCTTGAGGGCGGTCTGATGGTGTTTTGAGAGTGTTTGCTTTAGAACTGGCTCTGTCCTTTCGTTCTTTTTGAACAACAGCGTAAACATGATCCTTGTTTTCTTCTTTATTGTCGCGCAAAGTATGTGGCTGCTGTATTCCTTTCTCACCACTCACCAACACTGTGTTTTCCCGTGCTCTTTCTTGAATATCTGAATATCCCTCTCTTACTGACCTTGACTTTCGATTAGTCTCATCTATATTATCCCACTCGCACTCCTTTTTGCAGTCGCCTACTGTCTCGCAGGTGGCCGGCACAGATTCCGTTTGTGAAAGGGTTAAGTGTACAGTAAGCTCGGCAGAGCTCTGCATTTGTTGAATAAGCACAGGATCGATCGATTGCAGTTCGGAACTCAGGGGCACCTCATAGGTGCAATTGACCCGATCGTGAGCGTGATCTGAAGGTGATCTGTATGGCAAAATTATATTCTCTCTCACTTAGCGGGACTGGAATATATTAGTATATATTCAAAAAGCTCACATTTTGCACTTTTGTTTTAGGGTAGCGTGGTATTCTGCCCTAGAACGTAGATTTTAATAGAAAAGTAACACTGTTTAGGATGTAAGTCACATATATACTTAAAAGCAAATATGATGCACCAAATAAAAATAAAACTCAAGTTTTTCATTGAGGAAAGGTTATAACGGTTCGTCAGAAATGAGGTCTAGATGGGGAAACAATCTATTGTCTAGACAATAAGAATAATTCTTATTGTCATTTGATATGTACCAAAAAAAAGCCTGGTGGGTACATTTGAACAGTTTTTGCTCTGTGTCATTTTAATAT